TCTAATACAGGGGTAGGCAACCTTTCCGCTTTAAGGGCCGAGGGACTTCAACTCCCAGAATCCCAGGAGCTATTGGCCAACATGGGACTATTGGCCAACATGGCTGAGGCTTCTGGGAGCTGAAGTCCTTCGGCCCTTAAAGGGGAAAGGTTGCCTACCCCTGCTCTAATATATCCATTTTTTGCAGACAATTTCCTCTAATATGTTTATTCATAAATGCAAAAATTTTAGTTCAAGTGTTCAGTGAATTTTCACCTTTTAATTGACATTTTTAATTGGAAAACTGCACTCCAAAGTTCAGAAAGATACAGCTATTGAAGTCCAATGGCATTTGGATTCAGGTCCTGATTCAGGAAGTGTGAATGAGGTCAGTTCAGATTAAAAAGTGAATGAAATGAATCTGCTCTCTGTCCATTGCCAGATATTAGGTGTCTTGCTGTGTGCATCATGTGGCCATTAACTGTACTGGAAATGGTTTTTGTTTTTCATTTATATTGGAAAAGGGCCAAGCATCCAATAAGAAAAAGAGGCCCGACAGAACCCTTTGCCATGTACCTGGCATGGACATATTAAAAACCATTTTGTTCAGAAACAGCAGTTTTGTAAGACTGCCCAAGAGTATTCCTATTCCTCTGCTGTATTTTGTTTTTATAGCTGTATGTTTTTATGGCCAGATCATTTGTGTGTCCCTTTTGGATGGAAAAAACTGTCTGGAAATGGCACAATAAATAAAATTTATATGCGTGTTAGAGGAGGAAATTGCTTAGAAAATAAAATGTACACACGCAGGCATAACGGAGCGCAGGTGATCTCTCGTCGTTGGCTTTAAATATTTTTAAGCCCTTATTCATGTTTAATGGTGAGTTTATTAAGGGTCTGTGGAGCTGGGGAAATGGTGTAGGGTCAAGATTGGCATCCAGTGCTGAAATTACCCGTCTGAGCAATGCGGAGGTAACAGTGCTTCAATGATGAGGGAAAGGCACGTCTTTATAGGCAGCAGGGGAGCTGGGGAAAGAGTGCGCTTGCACAGCTCAGCTCAGTCAATTACATCATCTTGCCTGGCAAGGGAAATGACTCATTCAGAGAAGCTGCTGCGGGTTTCTAGTCGCTGGATGATAGGAAGCTGGTTCCAGTTCACACTGTCTCTAGAGGGTCATTCAGACATCAAGTTTTTTCAGTGTAATGATGCAAATAACCTCACTCACGCATTCCAGGTTTTTTGTTCATACTATGGAACTACATCTCTGCAAGTTCTGTTGCTCACATGTGCCAGCGCTCAAATAAAGATGGAGTCGATGATGGGAATGTATTCGAAACCCATTCAAGGCATGCAGAGCCACGCATGTCCTGGGAGGACTGAGGTTTGGAGCATCACAACGCCAGCTGAATAATGTTGCCTCAGCTGGCTGTTGGCCCTCTTGCAAAGTTAGGATTGCACTGGTAGACATCTAGGGACACCAAGCTGAATGAAGAAAGCTATAGTCAACAGTCCTTAGGAATTGCCTTGGCATATTGCTCAGGTTTGTAACTTGTGAGATAATGTGTATTTCTTGCCTGTTCTCCATTGGGAAATACGGTAGTATATATTTTCCAATTGTATTCTTTTAGGGTACTTTACAAAAATTAACAAAAACATGTAAAATATAACTGTAGAGGGTGATCCAAACTTGGTTGTGCATAGAGTAGACCCATTGAAGTTTGTTGTGACTAAATTTAGTTTCATTGAATTCATGGAGCTGCTCTAACTGTGCCCAAGTGCCAGTCTAACTTGGGTCCAACACACACTGCAAAAGTAATCCAGTTTGAGACTGCTTTAATTGTCCTGGCTCAGTGCTAGGGAATCCTGGGAATTGTAGTTTATTGTGGCACCAGAGCGCGCTCTGACAAAAAAGGCTAAATGTCTCACAAAACTACAGTTCCCAGAATTCCCTAGTATTGAGCTAGGGCAGTTAAAGAGGTCTGTAACTGGATTATTTCTGCAGTGTGTTTTGGGTCTTGATTAACTTATAAAAGGCCAAGTTGACAAAGGCAAATTCTCCATATAAGTAATGCTCTGGGAAGTTGCAGAACCCAAAAGTGCTACATTAGCAAATGGAAAGTATTGATTAACAGAGGGATTATATTGATCGTATGGATTGCCCGAGGATTGTTTGCCCCTTGATGCTTGCAACATCTCAGGAAGATTCTGTATGTATGAAAGAGCCACTGAAAGTTTTTTAAATTACTGTTCAAAGCTTGAAAAAAGGGTTTTAAAGGAGGGGAACAATCCCCTATCCCCCAACCCAGGTGGCTGGGGGCTTCTAGGGCTTGTAGTCCAAAAAAAGTAACATTTGCAAACTTTGTGTGTGATCTCAGAAACATGAATGAAAGCAAAGCCATGGCACACTATGAATGGATGTTTTAAGTTTGGCTTCTTGCATTCCTGTTTCCAAATGTATATTAAAAGAGGAATTTACAGCTTTTGAGTGGCCTTGAGATCCAGCTTTATAGGAAAGGGAGGGTATAAATAAAGCAGGAGGCAGGTGTGGTGTAGCAGTTTGAGTACTGAACTGGTGTTCAGCCCTGGAAACTCATTAGATGACCATAGGCAAGTCACAAACTCTCAGCCCCAGAGGAAGGCAAGGGCAAACCCCCTCAGAATAAATATTGCTACGAAAACCCTATGAGAGGATCACCATAAATCAGAATTGACTGGAGAGCTCAATAACAACAGTAACAAGAAATAAAGCCATACAGTGCAGTACAGTTCACAGTCCTGTGCTCAAGGGTAGGATTAGTTGTTATTCTTTTGCTATTTCTGTGAATTACAATTCAAAAGGTTTCCTTACCTCTCTGGTAGAGCAGATTATAATCATGCAAATAGCAGTTGCGTGGCCATTTAGCAAGATGTTTATTGGCTTGCAGAAGAGCTGAAGATTTAAGTGGCGATATGATAGCCATCTTTAAATACTTGGAGGAATGGTATGTCAAAAATGGAGCATGCTAGTGGTCTACTGCTCCAGCAAAAAGAACATGAAGCAGTGGGTTCCAATTACAAAGAAAAAGAGCCCAGTTACAAGGAAAAAGCATGGCTTGCCCAAGGTCACCCAGTGGGTTTCCATGGCCAAGCAGGGATTCATGGTCTCCAGAGTCATAGTCCAATGCTCAAACCACTACACCATGCTGCCCCTCCAGCTCTTATTCCTTTGAATTTCAGGGCCAGAAGTGGAACAGAGAGGTGCTGCATTCCTCTGAGGGGTGTGCACAGTTGCAGGCAAATAGTGTTTAGATGCATTCATGTGGATTAGTGCAGAAAAGGGTAGCCAAAAGATAAGGGGGTGTCATAAGCCAGGCCTTTATGAAGAAAAGTTGCAACATTTAAGGTTAATTATTTAGCACGGAAAACAAAAGGAAAGCAATAGCAGCAGGTGGCTCCCATGTTCATGCTTGAGATGAAGCATATCAGGCCATGCTGCATTTAAGGCTACCTTACGCACTCTGACAAATCAGTCTCCAGTCATAGATCAAAGTAGCAAGGACAATCCTAACTTTAAAAATGAATTTTCCAAGGTGCTGACATATTTGGGTGATAGGTTTCAGCACTCTGGGCAGCTCCTTTAAAGTTGGAGCTCAAGCAAAGAGCAGACTAGAATCCACTGTGTATTGAGGATAAATGGTGACAGATTCAAGACAGATAAAAAGGATTTATTTATTTATTATTTTATTTATTTAGAGTATTTATGCCCTGCTCTTCAGCAACAAAGGCTCCCAAAGCGACTTACAGATTGTAAGTGCAGTTTATAGTTAAACTGTGGAACTCACTGCCACAAAGTGTAGGAATGGCTGACCAATTGGATGGTTTCAAAGAGGGTTTAGAGAAATTCACAGAGGTGAGAAACAACAAGAGCTACTAGGCATGATACTTATGTATGACCTTAACTAATAGGGACGTTGTGCCACTTTCTGTGTCTTGTGTGTGGGCTTCCCACAGGTATCGGCTTGATAAGATTAGGCAGGCCTTTGGTCTAAATCGGTCTGATTCTGATTCTTTTCACTCTTATCCAAAGTGAAACAATTTTTTTTGAAAAAATGTAAGGCAAGCTTAACCAGGGACTTAGCTTTCCCACTGAAATCATCAGCACTTGAAAATGTTTTAATTTGGTTGGAATAAGTCCTTTTGCCACTCCAGGGTCTCTTTCAGATTCTGTAATGTTAGCACTTCAATACCACTCCAACTGCCCTGGCTCCATCTTAAAGAATCCTAGTTTTGTGAGAGATTTAGAATCCCCTGAGAGGGGACTCTAGTGTCTTACAAAACTATAGATCCCAGGGTTTCATAGGCTGCAATCATGGTAGTAAAAGTGGCGTCAATGTGCTATAATTGTGTAACGTGGAAGAGACCCAGTTTTCCAAGTTTTGATGGTCCTTCCAGATCACAGGGA